ATTTCCTATGTTATTATATTTTATTCATAGCGCTCATATTATTTCCGAATTAAATATATCTTCGTATAATCTGTTTCACGAATGACTGTTGAACTTTATGCACGAGTTTTAATTATTCATTCATATTTCTGATCAGTTAGTTACTTAGATATATCTTTCTGTAGCTTGCATTCAAAGGTGATGATACTGCTAGTACAATAAGATGCAGACTGAACGCTGCCCTGAAAAGAACATATCCAGCCGCCAAGCTTGTATGTGTTTATCAAACAACTAGTTGTTTGTGAGACATTCAAAAGTGGACAAATACCCACCTCATGTTACCTCCAACTGTGTCTACCAATTTACATGTATGCGCCAAAGCACATACATCGGAAGAACAGAGAGAAGGGTTAGTATCCGCATTTATGAACACATACCAAAGGACCTGGAGACTGAAAGGTCCGCAAGCATTAAACAGTGGGATTGCTCGTCATCTATTGGACACTGGTCATATTGTAGACAACCTGAAGTCGTTCAAAATTATCAACAAGCAAGAGAAACCTAGCTTGTTACGCTTTGCTGAAGCAATCGCCATCAAACGACTAAAACCAAATCTATGTACGCAGAAAGAGACTGTGGAGAATCTTGCACTGCCCTCATGATAACAAAATATACAACTCTTATGAGTCACCCTTTATCATGCTTAGAAAACTCTACTCTCTCATCTAAACATGACTCACCTCAACTTGTTCTTTTCTTTCTTTTTTTTATTGGCTATCAGATAAAACATTTTCTTTAGTTACGTAATCTACTTTTTTGTTATGCTCTTTCTAGCTAAACCTTGTTTCTGTACACACACATATATACGAAACTCTGTTTTTGTTTTTAAGCCTAATTGTCTGATTATTCTATAAATAGTCAGTGTTTGTAACTCTTAATCAGTTAAATCATTCCGGACTAATATTACTTTTAATTCCTACCAATTACACCTTATGATCGTGGAAAAGTATGTTCATATCTTTAATGTAATTCAAATTTTTAATGTTCAGGTTGTAACCAGTTGAGAAGAATCCTCGAAATAATAAAAAATGAGCTCATATTATCCTGGTACAATTGTTGTTCTTGCTTTGTTCAAACTTAGATATATGTTAGGTGAAGTTTGAACACTGTGTGAATACTGTTCATTGGAAAATACAAAAACCTTTATTATAATGTTGTGTGAATACCTTGATAAGATTATGAGCAACAAAACTTCATTAGGAAATAATTCTGTATAACATTGTGAGACTTAATCAAATAAATTTACTCTATGGTGAGAATATACTCTTCGACAGAACACAAGTTCTATTTCTTACATAAGTTTGATTTAATATGCAGATATAACATGCATTAGGTGAACATTCTCTTGGATTCTCTAACTGTGCCATTTTGTTACCAAGATAAGTTTTATAATCTAACTGAAATCGATACTGTATCAAGTGTAATGACGTAAAAATTACTAATTAAACAGGTTCCAAATATATTTTCGACCACCTCTCATTCAGAAACAAAAGGTAATCAAGACAAGAGTAAACAATAGACACCAAAGTCAAATGACCTTGATTTAACCAATCAGACAGCTTAGCATTACAAATGGTTGCTAGTCTTAATCCTTCTTGAAAATGTCTGCTAGACTTGGTTTTTGACTTCTCTGTGGAAAATATGTTGATAGGGAAGAATAAAACATGCATATATGGAGGGATAATGACTCTGAAAAAGTATTGCTGGGCTATTGATGGTTATACATTCAGATGCAACCAATTTATATGAGGAAGTTTGTATAAGTTGTTAAGTCGTACATAATTGGTGACATTTTAAGACACTTTCTTCTCGAAATCAAAGCTCTCCCTTAGTAATATATTGCGTATATGCAACCAGTATCTGGTACAGCTGAAGAAATAGAGAATATATTGGTTTGATATGTCCATAACCATTTCTATGGGGATCTGGAGCCAGTTTTTTGAAGCACATTAGATATATATATAACCTGTATGATTCATTTTTATTACATATAAGTCGTGGATACACTTTAAGATACATTTTGTAAATTCAGCACCACTTTTCACCCTAGAAGAATCTGATTGGTTGTTTCAACGTCGACTGAAGTTGGTGTCTATTCTTTACTGTTGCCAGAATCAATGTTTATAATGGTGAACTTTTATAGTATGCGCTGATATCATTTAGGAAATTCTGTTAATAAGCGTAAAAGTAAATAAGAAAGCTATTCTAAGACCTCCATTCTCACCAAGGAATCCTAATCAGTCGCATATTTATTGCTTTTGCATACATGTCACCATTTTTTATAACGACTGTAACGTTAACAGTTTTTTTATTCCTTCATGTTCCCTTTGGAATATATAAGACTTCAAGCTAGAGCTTTGGAGTTTCAGTAACGGTGATATTTATTTTCATGGGATGGGGCTGCTAATCTTCTGCCCTCCCTCTTTACCAGTCTTATTACTAGCTTAGCAAGGTAAAGAAGTGCTTCTGAGGTCGGGGATCGAACTCCGAACCATCTATGTGGTTAGTGACAGTCCTACTACTATGTCACCGACGCACTAGTGTTAAAAGTACTGAAAAATTAAAAGAAAACACTTAAAAAATATCGAAGTTCTTGTGAATAAGATGAGGGCATCACTTATTTCGTTGGTTTCTCTTCAGCTGTCTATAGCCTAAAAGTTAATTATGTGTGTTTACAGAGAAATGTTAACATACTTGCAAAGGTTACATGACTTTTGGTTAACAGAGACATAAAATAAATAAGCAGTGCTCAAAAGTAACAATTATTATGTAACTTATGCAAAGAGGTAAAAGTTTTAAATTGAGTTTCAAACTCTAGACAAAAGATGCAACTTTGATGATAGGTAACTAGTCATTCAATTGAATTTTTGATTTTCCCGTCGATTGATTGGACCGAAGTGCTCGGTCTCAGGTTGACACGTCGGCTTCTTGTGCAGATGCTTCGACGATGTCTGGGTATTTAATTAGTATACAATTGGTGGATGGTGGCTAGCAGTGGAATCCAGGATGCGCATTTCGTCCTATTTGGGACTCGTCAGCTGGATGTACCTGCATTTCTCAGTGAGTGATGATGTTCCCACCGAGGCTCGAACCCAGTACCCATAGTTTCAAACGCCAAAGCGTTATCCACTAGACCACTTGGGCCACGAGAGCCACCTCTTGTGCAACGGGTCATATTAATTATTCAATTGAATTTTTGATTTTCCCGTCGATTGATTGGACCGAAGTGGCCCAAGTGGTCTAGTGGATAACGCTTTGGCGTTTGAAACTATGGGTACTGCGTTCGAGCCTCGGTGGGAACATCATCACTCACCGCGAAATGCAGGTACATCCAGCTGACGAGTCCCAAATAGGACGAAATGCGCATCCTGGATTCCACTGCTAGCCACCATCCACCAAAGGTAACTAGTCATTTGTATAATAATGCGGTGCGTTGAAGTCAAGTCATAGAAACAAGAAAGGAACGAACTAAAAAATTATGTTGAAGCAAAAGATCATGTAGTCAAATGAGACGAAGGGATTAGACGTTGGGTTACCAGGTCAAGTAAAGACTGAAAGTGAATCTGTCTGAAAACATGAATTAGGTTTCAGATGTTTGATAGTAATAGCTTTTGCAAATTTGAGAAGAATTAAGTTATATCGTCTATTAATAATCTTTAAGAATTTCACGATGTCCACCTAATGACCGGTTTCAACAAGATGTCTAGCAATAGCACACTGTTCAAAATATTTGCTCCCTTGATAAAATGTTAGGAGAATGTAAGATAAGCCCTTTTTCCCGTTCTCTCAATGCAACTACTAAAGCAAATACACATGTAAATTTATAGACACAATCAGAGTTAACATAAAAAGAATGTCTATCAAAATTTGATTGCACCAAATAGTATGTTATTTGATCAGAGGAAATCAATTCGGCTAAAGGATAAGTTTTGGTCAGAGAAGTATTCAGTCTTCTGCTGATTATCTCTGCAATAGTGTCGTCTTTAAAATCGAGCTAGTGAGAAAATGTCTCTGATTTACAAGAATGTTTTACGTAGTTAAATTTTCTGACCCTGTTAACTAAAAATCATGTGACCCTCGCAAGCTGTACGCCACTGAAGAGATACGCAACGAAATAAATGATGACTTCATCTTATTCTATACAAACATTTATATTTGCTTTACTTAAACTTATAAAGGGAAATAAGTGTATGAAGTTTCTTGTGAATAATTAAAACGAATATCACTTTATTTACGATCCTTGATTTCAAAATATCGTCAATTTAAATTTAGTTTCCTTTAAAAGCGACTGTGTCTGATGTGAATTTAACTTCAGCTGAAAGACATCTCAGTGATCTGCTCCATACCATAATTGGTAATAAGAAAAGCAAGCACAAGTGTATGGCACTACATACTACTGATGGAATTAGATGAGTAGTTGTACACTGGTAGTGCTTGCTAGGTAGATTGAAGTTTTCTGAACACTAGAGAGCCGTTTAGCTCAATAAGAAATGGACACATCAGTGTTATAATCGGCTAGACTCAGCTCAGAGAGCGGAATCCCTTTAAACCGACTGTTTCATGACTACAAACTTACAAGTCTGAACATTGAAAGACAGTTAACAGATTTTGACTGTAGACTCATTCATTGCTCATCATCACTATGAAACTAAGCCAAAGTCAGGTACTGAAGCTTTGTAATAATAATTTAATAATAATTTTTTCCTTCACGTTCCCAGTGAAACATAGGGCTTCAAGCTAGTGGCTTGAAGTTTCTGTAGTAGTGTTTAATTTTACAGGATGGGGTTGCTGGCCTCATACCCAGTCTTTCCTCTTTACCAGCATTATTTCTGGCTTAGCGAGGTAAAGGAGTGCGTCAGTGGCCGGGTATCGAACCCCGGACCATGTGCACGGTCGGCGAGCGTCCTAACCGCTGTACCACCGAAGCACTGAAGCTCTGTACGAATGCAAAATTTCACTTGTACAACGAAAACTTATTACTATCATTTATTCAAAAAACAATAAAATAAAATTGAAATTAGGCACTTCAATGAAACAGAATTAGTAGAATAAAACAAATGAGTTGTTCAATAATAAAAGGAGACTAGTCATCCGTTTGCTTTACTGAAATCATATTTTGCATAAGAAATTATTTGTGAGCAAGTTATTAAATTAAAGTCACTTCAAATTATTAAATTAAAGAATGAAAATCTGAAAATTTCATGTTGCCATATTATTGTAAATATTTAAATATACTTTTGGTTAAAAAAGTCATTTATCCAAATAGTTGATTTCACTGTTTAGATTTTAATGATCCGATTTTTTGTTCTAGTCGTTAAATGTGATATTAAATGCTGACGTTCTTCATCAGTAATGAAAGCTGCTTTAGCTGCATTCATATAGGCATCATTAAGTTGTGAGTATTTTAATCCAAATTCCTCCATACAATATTTGACTTCTTCTAGATCCCATCTTTGTGTTAATGTTGGATCATCTGTATTAATAGAGTAACTGACTTTGTCTTCAATAAAACGATGAACAGGATGATTTCTGACATTTTTCATATTCACAGCTCCTGTTACAATACTTGATGATGGACACAGCTAATAATAAATAATAATAAATACAGACAATCATTTCATCATGTTATATTTTTGAGAAATTGATTGTATGCAAAGTAGTCTTGAAAGAAACAACCTCCTTCACCTACCTGGGAAGCATCATCTCAACTACAGGCCGAACTGACGAGGACATCAAAGCCAGAATCGGAAAAGCAAGACAAGCTTTCATTACTCTCAAATCTGTGTGGAGGTCAACAGCACTCAGCATCAAAAATAAGATCCGGATTTTCAACTCCAATGTGAAGTCAGTGCTACTCACTATACGGATCAGAGACTTGGCGAGTCATAAAGAGCATCTCAAACAAACTTCAAACCTTCATTAACAACTGTCTCCGCTCAATACTCAAGTTCAAATGGTCGTCCAGAAAAGATCAGCAACAGGGATCTCTGGGAGCGAACCAATCAGAAACCGATTGTGAAACAAATAGGCAGGAAGAAATGGAGATGGATTGGCCATACGCTGAGGAAACCATCAAGTGACATCACTAGACAAGCCCTCGAGTGGAACCCGAAAGGGAGGCGGCGAGTTGGTCGTCAGTGCACGGGTGACTTGGAGGAGGTCATGCGAGGAGGAGATGAAAGCATGTGGACAGACCTGGAGCAGGGTGAAAAAGTTATCAGAAAACCGAAGTCAATGGAGGTGCGCAGCTGAAGCCCTATGTTCCTCTAGGAACTAAAGGATACAATAATAATAATAATAAATAGTAGTCTTTGTCACAACGTTACTTCCTTCACTTATCTGGCCAGAAAGCATGTTTTTAACTACAGGCAGTCGGAACGAATGAACACGTCAAAGCTGGCCAGAATCAGAAAGGTGAGAGATACGCCTTCATCAATCTGAAACCAGTTTGGAGATCTTCTGCACTTGACATAAGGAACAAGATTCGGATTTTCAACACAAATGTGAAGTTAGTCAGTTAGTGCTTCTATACGGGTCAGAAACTTGACCAGCGTGTCAAGAAAAGGATTTCCAACAAGTTACGCAATTTTATCAACAACTGCCTTAGCTGGCAGGTCAGAAAGAATTAGCAACAAGAAACTCTGCAAGGCAACAAACCGACCATGAGCCCATTGCTCAACAAATATGTAGGAGAAAACGGAGATGGATCGGGCATACACTGGGGAAACCCTTGAATGACATCGCGCACTAGGCCATTGTTCAAGTGGATTCCAAATGGGAAGTGACGAATGGGTCGCCGGTGTGAGGGTGATATGAGGGAGGTCGTTCGAGGAGGAGATAAGAGATTATGGGCAATCGTGGACCTGGCTGAAGAGGACAGCAGAAAATAAAAGAAAGTGGAGATGTGTTGTTGAAGATCTATATTCCACTCGGAACCCGAGGGAATAATAATAATAACAGTCTTTGTCACAAATTTTCATCAACTAAAAATGAGTAAGAATCAGTGATTAATTTTAATAGTTCCTCTCTTATATTGAAACCACACAGTGGTATATTTTGCGCTTAGATACATTAGTTTCCGCACTGAATATCTTAACTCTTATGGCTGGAATTCTTATTCTCACTTTAGCTTGGGGATTATTCAGATCCGCAAGAAATTTACTAGATTAACACGCAGTTTTATTGGTCCCACGGATAAAAGCGAGTAATTCAGACTTCACAATTTCCATGTTAATCGATGCGTTTGATGGCTGTATTCAGCGTGCAGTTACCAATATACACTGCTGCGAAGTATAAAATCATCGTAGTGGATTGCTAATTTTTCCTGGTTTGTCATGATGGCTAAATGTTATGCCTGTGATTCTCAGTGTCATAAAATGAAGCCTTCTGATGATCTCTGTCAATTTTGGGCTGTAAGACTGCATGACACTATTCATTTTAGAACTGTATCAGTCAGGTAAACGGATTAGGTAAAACATTTTGTTCAACTACATCATATTTCATCTCCCTTACTACATGTACTCTGGTGTTTAAAATATGTGATTTAATCTACGAGCATAAAACTTTCAATCTCTTTTTTAGTTTCAAGAGGACAAGTTTACTGGCAAACTCAGCAATTTTAAAGGACTAACATTTAGACGTTCCACCGGATGGTTATAGACTATGATGTTGCTGACAAGTAGATGTTTATTGTCACCTTACACTTCTTACTAAAGGGATTAACATTCTTTTAAAGTACCGAAAAGATGAATATAATACTGTGTACCAATATTATTATTATATATTATTGTTCCCTTTGGTTCCTAGTGGAACATAGGGCTTCAACCTCACGTCTCCACTTGCCACTTCTGTCTTCTGCTGTACTTTTCACCTGCATCCATGTTACTGTTTCAACTCCTCTTCACACGATCTCCTCCATGTCACCCTTTCACCGACGTCACACTCAATGCTTCCCTTTCGGGTTCCACTCGAGCAATGGCCTGACGCGCGCGCGACCTTACCCAGCGGCAGCCTCCTCAGGGAGTGTACAATCCATCGCCAATTTCTCCTGCATATTTCTGATGGCGATTGGTTCTTGTTTTGTTTGTTCCCATAATTCCTTGTTGGTGATTCTTTCCGGCCCGGCCATCTGATCTTCAGTATAGAGCGAAGACAGTCGCTGATTAAGGTCTGCAATAGCCTGTTGGAAATATTCTTCGTGACCCGCCCGCCAAGTTTCTGATCCGTATAGAAGAACTGACTGGCTTGACGTTGTTTGTATTGAAAATCCGACAGAATTTTGTTGTTGATTCTGGCTGAGTGACGAAGATTTCCAGATTGGTTGTTTCAGGTTGATGAATGTATTTCTCGCCTGCCTTCCCGATTCTCGCTCGATTTGACATCCCCGCCCGTTCCAACTGCCTGTAGTTGAGACAATGCTCCCTAGCTGGATAAGTGAATGAAGTAACCTCTTTCAAATCCCTCCCGTTGATGGTGATTAGCGCTGAATGTTGCTGCTGTTGTACCAATATAAGGTCGCTTAAATAGTTAAGAGGAATAAAGAAAATAAAAGTTGTTTTCACATCTCTGTGAAGTGGTCTACCTATATGACTGCTTACTAGCGATAACACACAGAAACTATTCTACCAAATCAACTCACGTCCACTTTTAAGTCAAAACAAACAAATTCCCAAATGATGTACCACTAATCAATACTGCCAACTGTCTAGATTATAGCAGTTGAAAGATCTGTAGACGTATTTTTTTGCTGACAAGGTCATTTTAACATTTCAACTCAGAAGGTCCAGTGGCTGAAACAGGCCAGGCTTAAAATACCTTTTTATTATGCTTTAAACGCGATGGTTTTAAAACGCTATACTGTTATCAAAATTATTTGCAAGTAGCCTTAATGCGTATGATACAACACAATACTATACTCTGTGGAAATTCCCACTGACAATACAATATCATCTAATTGTTATGGATGTAGGTTATGGTGATTCCAGCAATCAACAGTATCATGAGTTATCATTTTAAAACATTGGATGCTGCCTTTACTTTGATATTGTACTTAAGGTAGTGATGATATCATGTCTAAGTGTCAGACCTTGCGCGCATACAGAGAACTGTGTTTAATGCCATAATTTTTGTCAATGAGCAATTTAACCATTTCGAAAAGGTCTTGATCCTTTCACTGGAAGTTAGTTTTTATTTGTAAGCAGCTTTCGATGACACAATATTGACTAATATTTGGAATTTAGATTCTTTGACATAGAAAACAAAATGAAGATACACTGAGAATCAAGATGGATGAATTTTACTACACCAGGTAATGAAGTAGTTGTCAGTCTGATTCATCGTATCACCTGATTTCAAAATCATTTTTACCCTAATATCTGCTAAATTATTGTAATAGTAATAACAATTCAAAAGTCACACAGACTTACAGCAATAACTGACCATCAGTTAACTTGGATGAGTCAGTTTTATGAGAAGAGGAAATTAACCACTTGTACAATTAATCTGCTAGACGGTTAAACATATCATGTCTTAAAACTCATCTCCAAGACTATAGCACTGTTGTTAATTGTGTTTTAAAAACAACATAGGAATAACTATTAGATATCATATCATCCATTTACAAAACTTATTGCCAACTACATTCAACATCTAATCGGTGGATGGTGACTAGCAATGGAATCCAGGATGCACATTTCGTCCTCGTCATCTAGACCACTTGGCCGAAGTCTGTCTGTTTTCGACATAGAACTTTGCACATATGTGCGGCAGTTCAAGTCTCCACACTCCCTCCATGTAGCACACAAAGCAACAGAAGAAAGTAGAAGAAATGTATAATAGAGACAGTAAACAGAGGTGTGAGACAAAGGAATAGTAGTAACGAAGAACAATATAGTTTCATTGGAAATCATAAGTGACAAGGAGTGGATGCATCTGCGCTAGTCATTGAGAACGATTTTGGGCCATGTCACCAATTGTTTCCGACCACTGGTTTTTACCATCCCGAGGACTCCAACCCTTCCTACGTGGCTTAGACTAACTGTTGTAGATTTCATTGACTGGTGCCATGTTTTGGTTTGACCTCCGCCAGCTCTTCTCCAGCCTGACCCTATATCAGCTAACATTGCTCGTCGAGGAAGGCGATGACTAGGCATACGTAAAACATGTCCTAACCATCTCAGTCGGTGCAACTTCGCAGCCTCGTCGATTGATTTCCCCTCCCACCTACCTAGCACTCAACCGACGCCTAACCTCGATATTGCTCACCTTATTATACGACTTCACACGGGAGATAGGGCGCAGGAACCTATGATCAAAGACAGCTAATCTTTTCATGTCTTCCACTCTCAATGGCCAGGTCTCACAGCCAGCCATAAAGGAGGACAGGGCGGACTGATGAGCAGTACACCCGCCCTTTAGTCGATAGTCAGAAATCTCGTCTACGCCAGAGACGGCGTGGTCTAGTGGATTACGCTTTGGCGTTTGAAACTATGGGCACTGGGTTCGAGTTTCGGTAGGAACATCATCACTCACTGAGAAATGCAGGCACATCCAGCTGACGAGTCCCAAATAGGATTAAATGCGTATCCTGGATTCCACTGCTACTCACCATACTATACTAATTTAGTGCCCAGACATCGTCGAAGAATCTGCACAAGAAGCTGACATGTCAACCTGAGGCCGAGCACTTTGGTCCAATCAATCGACGGGAAAATCTACAATTCATCTACATTTAACATCACCTACAATATTAAATATCCGAATTCAATTAACGAAAAAAGAGAAATAACAAATAAAAGTTCAATATTTCAATAATCATCCCACCTCGAAGTGTACACCAGCATTGACAGCTGATTTGTATAACTTGTCATCATCTACAATATGATATCCATGACCGATACGTTCAGCGTGTAATCCAGTAATTGCTTCATGAACAGTCTTTGCTGAACTATTTTCACCAACATGAACTGTACGATGAATATCAGACTTTTTAGCTTCTTGAAATGTTTGAACAATCTCATTTGCTACACTTTGTTTTTCCAATACAGAGTCATCACCTTTATAGGGAAAGGATGCAGTAAAATAAAGAAGAGTATATTAAAAAGTAATGATAACCTATATGCGGTAGACTGAATCAGTTGTTTAGCCGATTTTAGTCATTGCTGCTATCTAAATTTTACGGCATGGTTAATAATTTATTTTCTTTATTTAAAGTTACTTGTCTAACAGAAATCTCCTTGAGATAAGCGCTATTATAGGGTTAGTGTTAAAGAGGTAATGCTACGCTTTATATTCTAATATCGTTTTGATTATCAGTCCTACATTACTTATCTTATTACGTAAGCTACAGATAGAGAGAATTCGGAGAGGGCCTTATTCTCCTGGAATTTATCTTTCACTCTTTTAGAATATCAACTGGAGGGAATATTAAAACTATATTTTAGCATTTATTCTATCAGACGTGCTATAGTTAATTGATAGAATTGCATAAATCGTGTTTTAATACTGCTTATATGTCGTTTAGGAATTTTTGGCACTTTTTACTCACATGTGACTTTATCTGCAGTGGTAAGTTCCAATTTCAACAATTTCTTTCAAAAGAATTTACAAAATGCTGCGACTTTATTTCAATTACATTGTTTTAAAGAAAATGTCGTTATTATGGTAGCCTATGGCGGTTTTGAGCTGGTTGATTAGTTAGTTTGAAGGTGAAAACGTTGAGATAGTTCGTATATGTTTTATTTAAGAAAATAATCAGTATCAGTGATGAACTTTCTGTCTTTGGACTTCAGATTTTTGTTTAAGAATAGAGATAAGCAAAGTTATACATCTTCTTGTAATGACTGTGCATCGGTGGCACAGCAGTTAGGACTCTCGCCGACCATGCACATGGTCCGGAGTTCGAGTCCACGCCGACGCACACCTGATATTTATGGTCGGCCTGCAAAATTTGGACTACCGATATCCACACTGAAAATTCCATACTTGTACCAAAAATACAGTGTGGAATCAAGCTGTAATCAAAAAATAAAAAAATAAAATAAGATTAACAGCAAATTAATCGGATTCTTTAGGTAATTTGTGCATCCTTAGTTTAAAACAACACTTTATCAGCCTAATGCAGCTGATTTTTATTGATCACTAATCATACGGTGGGTGATATGCATGAGATCGTGACTGTGATGTGAGATTCTCCACATTCCTTATCAATATTATGAATAAAACTCTGATGTTCATGGACTTATCTTTGAGTTTAAAGGCTCTCATCAATCAAACAGTAGTACTTTTGCTGAATATTAACACAGAGAGCATGTTACTGTATGGATTTTCATCCTGACCACTATGGATTGGGGATGGCTTCAGCTAAAAATACTGATGATACAGTAAACTAACTGGTACCGTATGGGGGAGACTAGTCATTTGTACCGGAATATGTTGGCGCACTGTAACCGTTTACAGATGTTTCTAAAGGTTATGCATGTATGAAAATGTACAAACAGAAACATGTGGCCACTATGGTATGGTTTTTCACTTCCATTACTCATAAAACGGGTACAAACATGCAAGCATTTCGTGACATTGTTGCCGTTTTCCCTTCCCTTTCTATAATGCCAATGTATGTAATTAATTTTAAATTGTAGTTAGTATGCATCGTCTTCAAAGAACTGTTACTGCTGTTTGATTAAAGACATTTGCCAAAGTGTTATCAACATTAAATATTTTATTGTCAACATTCCGAAGTGCGTCTAAGTTCGATTGTAAATCCATATTTGCCTTCATAGTTTTGACCCTATCATAAGCATTTTTCACTGTAAACTTCAACACTGAAGGACGCAAAACTGAGAGATTTGAAAGTATTCTATCAACATACGATATAGCTTCATTTGTGTCATAGCACCTAATATAAGGTTTGAGATTTTAATTGGCGTTCTCGAGTCATGTGATTAGAATCTTACCTAAAATGTATTTGAGACAATGATGAAATCCACCTTTCAGAGGAGATTAAGATGAAATCAACTCAGAAGAGTTACTCAGTTAACAAATAATAGAAAAGAAATGGATTTCTGAAGTACAGAATTTAAAATTTCACTACTAACCTGCAATGTCTATAGCTACAACACCATGTGATTTATACTTTTTGGCTAGCTCTAAAGTCGGCTTTGCTGTTTCAGGCATATGTCTTAGAATTGACAAAATGGTTCGGACTTCTATATTGTTTTTTTCACTAGATATCTTCAGCGCTTCTAGGACTGTCTTCAGGACCTCTTCAGGGTTCAATTTAGGACCAGTTAAAATAAATGGACAAAATCTTGTCTCTACATAACACAGTCCACCTTTCTTCACACAATCTTCAACGAATTCATCACAGATACGCGCTATCACCTCCTAAATGTGAGAGTAAAGAAGATGGAAGCTAATCAGCGGTGTTAAAATTCGAAGTGAGAGTAAAGTTGGGAATTAAAATAACTGACAAAATAATCTGAGTAAGAAATATAGCAACACCTTTGTCAAGTAATATATAGGGGTCTATTTATTTGAATTTTATTTAACGTTATTCTTGTCTGATGGTTTAGACTTCAGTGCCACTAATGGCCTATTACTTGTCACCGTGAATAACTGTAGAGGGAAGAACAAACTCGTATGTATCGTAAGTTATACTACTTTCCACTGAATACATATTAGGACTGTGAAATACAAAATTCTAATGTTAAATGTCTTACGCACACTACATGGAGTTCAGTTAACTAGTAGGAACTTTCAAAAATGCATAAATGGGAAAAGGTTTAACTTCTGGTTTTGTCTATATCGCACAGTCTTTGCCTACATTGAATGGAATACAAGCACAACCTAACATTTATGGCTTGAAACCAGTAAAATAGCCCTTACATTTCGGAGGATTCAGTAAAGAGATATATTAGCCTGTATAGTTTTACTAATTACCAATTTAAACTTAGCTAGACTAGTTCTTAAAATCACGCAAGGTTGTGACATATTAACATACTCTGCGCTCAGAAAGATGTTTAAAGAAAGAGAATTCATAATGTCTAGTAAGCATTCCACTAATTTGATCCAAATTAAAGAAAAGCTTCCATCAGAAATACTTGAAATTCAGTTTAGGAGAGTGTTAGCGGTATATATATATTCCGTTTGCTTTCGTCTCAAATAAAACGGCAAACTAAATGTGTAGCGTTGAATAGACAGATGGAGATTATATTTGACTTTAAAAAATCAATCTCTTTCGTTTAAGTACGGTTAAAAATTTTTTAAAGTAGTAAGTATACTCATTATCACGAGTTCGATATTTAAGTATTTAAACATTCAACCGTGACAAATTTGGCTGTTCAGTCACAATAAATGGATAGAAACAAGTGTTTTTGTGTCATTGCTTAATTTCTAACTCAATCAGCAAATAAATAACATCTGGCGTAGATAATGTATATACGAAGATATCTGTTGGTAAAGTCTATTTAGAATCCTTATTGCCATAATACAAATCAAGTGAAAATAGATCTTACCTTATCTCCTGAAATCAGGGGTATGATAATTTCGAAAGATTCCAAGAAATGTTTCAAAGAGTACGGAGGTTTTGGAAGTAACTTCTCTTTAAATTCAGGCAACGTATTGGGGACATTTACCACTTTCCGATGTTTTGAAAGTTCAAGAAGAGTTTCTGGTCTAACAGCACCGTCTAAATGAAGGTGCAAGTCGATTCCATGTGCATATTCTGGAAGTAACATTTCAGTGGTATCAAAACTCAGTTGTTATAATTGTGCTTACAACTAGAATACTTGCTACTGATGCACTCAAACAAAACTTCAATAGTGTAGGTATTTCGAAAAAGTGGCCTTCATGCTTGTGTTAGTGAACCTAAATTACTTTTTATGTAGTATCTGAAATTTACTAAATGAGTTACATGTTTTTATTTCTCCATTACTTCCGCCAACGTTAGAAATGGAGCTGGGTTTTTCACTGTATGCTAATATCAGTGTTTTTTGTGTCACTTACGAAGAGAACCTACTTGTGATTCTAAATTCATTCTTGCTAGGGGTAGAATTTTCATATTCTTTTGAACGATAGAATGTTAGCTTTTGCGATTTGGCTATCCTGTTTGTTACTTCATCGGTCTCACCTGTCAGTCATTACCAACAGTTTATTCTCTCCTGTGGTATGTAAATGTCAAGATTATCACTGTTGAAGGCCAGTGTACCACTTTAATTATGACAGTAGTGAATGATGCGATAATCTCACTTCTGTGACATACAAGCGTTCTTGTGAACACCCTATTCACCCAGTTGTGCAAACACTGCTGCAGTACGAATCAGTATATCAAGCATGATATGATACAAACGCCTTAGGAAACACGAGTGTTTTCAATTATCAGTGGCCCCACTTACAGGGAAACTGATAGGATCCCACATATTTTGATATTGACTGTTTAATCTTGCATATATGGTATGTTATCATTCTCACACATTTTGGTAGTGACTGCTAATCTTGTATATGTGGTATATTATCATTCCCACACATTTTGTTATTGACTGTCAATCTCGCACATATGGTATATTATCATCTCTCACGCACTTTGTTATTGGCTATTAAGATAAATTATTTCAAATGCTGTTAGCTGTCCATATTGTTGTAAAATGTATAAATACCATGGCTTTCTTTGTCGTTGTTGCACTTCAATACACAGTCACAGTCCAGCCTTTGTCTTTTGATATTTGCGTGCTTTACTAAATCGGAAGGTACGACGAGCAGATAGGCAGATTAGTTCAGGCGCAGACAGAGCAAGGTGAAAACGTCTTCATTCAATTCCCTACAGTTATAACAAATTGGCGACGGGGTTTTACCTTAATTCATTGCAGTTATAGCAAGCAAACGACGACAGTTTTTATTCTGTTCAGCGCAGCTATATAACATTTTTGACTGTGTTAATTACAACCCAATTACAATGTCTATCTCTCTGGACGATCTCAAATCTATCTTGCAGCAGCAGCAAGTTCAGAATGAAGCAGCTCAACTAAAATTAATCGAAGCTCTCACTCAGAAGCTGTCCATTCAAGTTCCATCAACATCTCATTCTGACAAATATGAAAGCATCTCAAATTCCATTAGTGAGTTCAACTACGACCCAATATCTGGTCTCGTATTTGATGCATGGTTCAATCGTTACGAAGACGTTTTCCGTATTGAATGCTACATGTTTGATGATGCTGCCAAAGTCCGATTGTTACTAAGAAAACTTGGTACTGTTGAGCACAACAGATATGTTAACTTCATTCTGCCTAAGAACCCACGTGAGTTATCATTCGATGAGACAGTCACCGTTTTATCACAAATCTTTGGTGAACAGTCATCCATGTTTAATATTCGGTATCAATGTTTTCAGTTGACAAAAATGCCTTCCGATGATTATGTCACTTACGCTGGCAAAGTGAACAAGGAATGTGAAAGGTTCAAACCACACGAAATGACATCAGATCAGTTCAAGTGTTTGATTTTTATTTGTGGGTTGAAGAACCCAGAAGATACTGACATACGAACTCGACTTCTGTCACTCGTGGAACAAGACCCGAAAATGACTTTACAAATGGTGACAGCAGAATGCCTACGTTTAATCAACTTGAAGCACGATACTGCTATGGTGGAGTGCAAACGACAGTCGTCTGAATTTGGTTCGATTAACACAGTGAAAAGTCCTCCGATCACCGTTAAGCACAGAGCACGTCAGTCTCAGAATTCAGCTAAACCTCCTTCAGTGTGCTGGCACTGTGGTTCGTGGCATTTTGTCAAGTTCTGTCCTTTCAAGAAGCATAAATGCCGTAATTGTCACCGTTTTGGACATAAGGAGGGTTACTGTACACCGCAGAAAAATCCTTCGGTGAGGAACAGAAGTAGTCGTTTCGAGCCGAAACAATCTCCTCGAGTACAGACCGTTTTCACTACTTCCAAAGTCGAGTTCGCCAGCAAACGTAAGTACATAACACTAGATATTAACGGCAAACGTATTCGTCTTCAGTTGGATACGGCATCAGATATCACCGTAATTTCCCGAACTACGTGGCGCAAACTTGGTTGCCCACAGATTCTGCCGACCGAGCATGTCGCCAAGAATGTCTCTGGAGATATACTGAAACTCGTGGGTGAGATAAATTGCCAGGTTCAGTTTGGTGAGCATCACTTCAATGGTGTATGTTACGTTACAAACTACCATGATTTGAATTTGCTTGGTCTTGACTGGTTAGACAAGCTCCATATCTTTAATGTACCATTAAATTCAGTATGCTCTAATGTTTCGTCTTCACCACACAACGTTGTTCCCGGAGATGTATCTGATCAATCTCTCTTGCAACGCCGTCGTCAAAAGCACGCTTCTGTCTTCCAGGACAAACTTGGTTGCTGCAAACTGTTTGGCATCCAGCATATTCGTAGCCCCCCGTATCATCCCCAATCGAATGGACAGACTGAACGTTTCGTCGACACCTTTAAGCGTGCTTATGCAAAAGCGAAGGGGGAGGGAACAACAGAAGAAATTTTGGATAAATTCTTGCTGCATTATCGTACGAATGAAAAAGGACAGTTATGTGTCAGACACACAGATCACGCTCTATCCAGTACCACGCAAAGGTCAACTCGACAAAGAAGAGCTCCGAAACCTTTTCAAATAGATCCAAAAAGCAAGTCCTACACTCTTTACGGGGGAGGTGATAGGATCCCACATATTTTGGTATTGACTGTTTAATCTTGCATATATGGTATGTTATCATTCTCACACATTTTGGTATTTACTGTTAATCTTGTATATATGGTATATTATCATTCTCACACATTTTGGTAGTGACTGCTAATCTTGTATATATGGTATATTATCATTCCCACACATTTTGTTATTGACTGTCAATCTCGCACATATGGTATATTATCATCTCTCACGCACTTTGTTATTGGCTATTAAGATAAATTATTTCAAATGCTGTTAGCTGTCCATATTGTTGTAAAATGTATAAATACCATGGCTTTCTTTGTCGTTGTTGCACTTCAATACACAGTCACAGTCCAGCCTTTGTCTTTTGATATTTGCGTGCTTTACTAAATCGGAAGGTACGACGAGCAGATAGGCAGATTAGTTCAGGCGCAGACAGAGCAAGGTGAAAACGTCTTCATTCAATTCCCTACAGTTATAACAGAAACGTATCCCTGTAGTTATTCTAGCGTGTGTTTTGATAGCCTCTAAACGTCTACGGGGAAGACGCAGGACCGTCTACCTGGATTAACATTACAAGAATAATAATGATATTATATTCTCATTTTGTACATGAGGGACGCCAGTTTACAGGCATCATCTATATGATAAATTACATATACGATTATCAATCATACTTAATAAGAATGTTTTAATAAAATACATATTTTTTCCTACCTGTGTAGGACACACGAAATGTACAGACATGGATAAGCATTACTTAAATTGCGTAGATTTGGTTTATGGTTAAATTACATGGTTGCTGACGTTTTTGTCTTTGGTTTGTGGGAACAATATGATAACCAGTCATTCAATGGAGCACATCAAGAAATATAGAAATATTGTCTTCGCATTAACAATATGTTACAGATATTGATTGGGGTGGGTAGTCCGGAAACTCAGATATTGTTAACAGCATAAAAGCTTGGGTACGTCTAAGACTAACGATAGGAAAGTTATTATTATATTATTATTATTGCTCCCTTGGGTTCCTAGTGGAACATAGGGCTTCAACTGCACGTCTCCATTTTCTTCTGTCTTCTGCTATACTTTTCGCCTGTATCCATGTTAATCCATATTCTTTCAACTCCTCTTCACACGATCTCCTCCATGTCACCCTTGGACGTCCCACACGCCGCTTCCCATCCGGGTTCCACTCGAGGGCTTGGCGCGCGATGTCACCCAGCGGTCTCCTCAGCGAGTGTCCGATCCATCTCCACTTTCTTCTGCATATTTGTTGGGCGATTGGTTCTTGCTTTGTTTGTTCCCATAATTCCTTGTTGGTGATTCTTTCCGGCCCGGCCATCCGATCTTCAGTATAGAGCGAAGACAGTTGTTAATAAAGGTCTGCAACAACCTGTTGGAAATATTCTTTGTTACCCGCCAAGTTTCTGATCCGTATAAAAGAACTGACTGACTTTACGTTTGTATTGAAAATCCGAATTTTGTTGGTGATGTTGGTGACGAAGATTTCCCGATTGATATCAGGCTGATGAATGTGTTTCTCGCCTTCTCGATTCTCGCTCAATTTGACATCCACGCCCGTTCCAACTGCCTGTAGTTAAGACAATGCTCCCTAGCTGGATAAGTGAATGAAGTAACCTCTTTCAAATCCCTCCCGTTGATGGTGATTGTCGTTGGATGTTGCTGATGCTGCTGTTGTTGTTGGTTGGTTATTTTCATAACCTCCGTCTTGTCTATGTTCATTTGGAGTCCTGTCTTCGCCGGCTGCTTCTTCGACCAGTTTGTTGGTCGCTTTTCGCTTGTAAGTCTTCGATTGTGTGTGACATCAAACATAAATCATCCCCGCGCGAAATCCAGGTTTTCTAGGTTCTTTGTGTCGGTCCAGGATATTCCTGTCTTCTCGTTTCCCACTCACTGTCTAACGCATAATCCAGTCAGTTCACCACAATTAGGAATATCATTGGTGATAGTAAGCACCCTTGTCTGACTCCTGTGTTTGCTCCAAACGCCTCGCTGAGTCTTCCGTTGTGGATCACTTGGCAGGTGCCGTTGTCGTACAGCTAGCTGTTGAATAAGGTTAATGAATATTTGGGGTACGCCGTAGTACTCGAGTAATTTCCA